AAAATAACTTACAAAACATTTTTCTGACCAACTTCCGTTTTCAGCTCGTTCCCATTTGATGTGTACCATTGCGGAATCAGAAGCCACTTTGAAACACATCAGTCGCATGTGTTTACATGTTGATGATAAACAACGCAATGATGCACTATCCAAATATTGCAAAATTTCAATCAGCATTATTGGTGGCAAGTCGTACAATGGTGAGCCATCAGATGGTAAAATTGATGGTTCGGGTGGACGATGCACGACACAATTCAGATAGCGATTATACCTTTAAAAGACAAAATAATTTTTAGAAAGCATCAAATAAAAGGAGGGAGTTAAGTAGACTTTCTTATACAATAACATGTACATGTTTAACCCTGAAACATAGAACTAAAAAAACTGCGAAAATCAAAAAGTGCTCATAAACATTACTACCTCATTATGATCGTAAACACTACCCTTATTAATGCCTCTAACAGTAGCTTTCTCCACATAGAAAATTTGGTCACACATAGACCTTCTTAATGACAGGCGCTAAATCATTTAGGAGTTATCAACTAAGCTTTGGTAGTTGGGAAATACCAGAAAAACATAAGTGATAGTAATTTAAAAAAAAAAATACAACGAAAAACAAACTTTAACTCTCCCCAACATGGTTTTACTTTACAATAATAGAAGGGGCAACCATCGATATACATCGGGCAACGTCCTATACAGTCATCAATTTCCATATGTGACAATTCATAATGTGTACAATATTCATCACGACGAAAGCTTTCGTTACAGCAAAACGTATAAACCGAAATCCCTTTTTGAACATATGGCATATTCTCACCTTTTCGAGCGAATACCGAGAAACGTTCACGTCCAATATTCAACTATAATATTAGGTAAAATTATATGGATTCAAAACTGGTAGCGAGAACGGCACATAAGAGTAAACATGCTTTTATAATAATGTTCTTCGTTATAGATGAAAAACAACTCAACAAATATCCACCACTGTAATTTAAATTCATCATAATTCATCACTGTATTTTCTTAATACATAATCCAAATTTCAATGATCGATTCATGACTTGTTGCCTTGTTCATTATTAATGGAATGAAATCAAAGAGTCTTCTGCCTTGAGATCATTCTAAAGCGTCGAACTCAGAACAGTTTTCAGTTTGCACTGTCAACTGAAGGAAGCTATACGACGACTTTAGCTGAGATAACGCACAACCCAGCAAAATACCATTTTACATTTAAATTACCAGTCATCCATATTATTTGTTAAAACTTACACATAAATGCCTCATTTCATAGAATGGTGGCAAAAGTGACACTTTAACGGGTGGTATCACAGGTGATATCACTTCCTCACCAGCTTTTTCATGTCCTTCGAAACTAATGTTACCCAATACGTGAAGATGTTGACTAGCTGGATCGAATTTGCACAAATAACAATTTTCAAATGGAGAACGCTTAAGCTTTAATTGAATTTCCTGGAAAAGAATTAAATTAACATATGTAGTGCTTGTACATTATATTATTAGTCTACATTTATCACTCTTATGCAACACATTGGGGAGCTTCCTAGATAAACACTTTACATGTCATTCACAATAGCCATAGAAATAAACGTATAGTTATACTTTTCACTGTAAGTCCATCTTTAGCTTTCAGCTTCCATATTGCATCCATCGACATTATTATCGCTCTAGAGACAAAAATTACGAGAACAAGCATAAAATTACCTCTCAAAAACAATCCGAAAACTAAGTTATAACTAAAGGCTTTTCAGAAAACCTTTTGTCTGTTTTCTTCGTCACTGCTGTCTTCGTCTGCGAAACGAGATAACTTTTCGAGCGATAATCTCAGTGGCATCAGTGGATGACATGGATTCTGGAAATCAGTTAGACGTTTTCGATCTTTCCGACTTGTCTGGTAAGAACCGATTACTGCTTCCTAGAAAAAAGGGAAAAAAACAAATATCGAAGAAATATTTCTCATCATGAGGTAACCACAAATTAAAATATCAGATGAATGTGATGATATAATTCCGTAATAATAAGATCTTCGAGCACATAAGCTGATTCTAGCTAATTGCCAATATCTAAGTTCGTCCACGCGTAAGCAAGAATGAAAGAAACCTGATCAACCAATGCGGCACAAACATCAATTTCACGATCATCCATTTCAGGCTCTATTTCCCATTGTTCTAGACCCTTTGCGAAACGTTTCAACTTGCGTTTTGCGTGATTACTAAGCGTTCGTCTATTCCACTGTACGGCACAACATATTGAGGATGCACAGCAATGCTTCAAATGTTGTGACATTCGATCACGTCGTAGCAATACTGGACAACCGAATGCTGCGCACAAGCACGGAACGTAGGCCTCAAACCATAACAGTACTCCAATAATTCAAAAATAATTCGATAATTTCACGGATTTCAAATTTTCATATAATACCGCATCTCTTATTACGACCTTGAAAAGTATCAGCTGTAAACTAGACAAACGACCATGATTAAATACATTATAAAATGCAGAATTCGTAATGTGTAATATAGGGTTAGAGGATAAACATGCAGACAACAGCGCTTTTGCTAATAGTTGATAATATCGCTATAGAAAACCAAACATAGTTAGAGCAAATCTTTTTCCATCAATTTTTGGCATGTACTACACTCAGTGTCTAATACTTTGAGCGTTATTATTGAGCAAAACGCACGCTCATGTGACAGTGAAACTTGGCGCCGAAAAAGTTTATACATCAGAATGGTGATCCTCGAAAGTATTAGGCCCTAACAGCAGTATAGAGCAAAAACTGGCTGTTAAATATCCCATATTTCCTTCCTCGAAAGAAAAGCAAAGGGATTATATATCAAAAATTTGCTTTTGAGTAATTTATACGATTTTGTCTTAGGCCAATTAACACGTATAATTTCATTTTAGAAACTGCATAACCCGATGAAGCCTGACTATTACGTACTTTCATCATTTAAACCGACCATCTAATAACCTATTTGAGTTTTTACAAAATTAACTTACCGTCCGATTGATTTGATAATACTTGAAATAAAAAGGATCTAACCTTGGCACAGATCAACAAATGATCCTCAAGTTTACAACCATGCAATATAGCATGACATTCAGGACACGAACGCAATGCACAACGGTTGTATTGACAATCGACACAGAAGCAATATGCGCAATGTATGTGATCGTCGATATCGATCGAATCAAACGTTATTGGATAAATTGTTTGTACCACATTCTCGTCATCCTCACTCATATCCATTATTGTATTTCGTGATTAATTGAATGTAGCGTTAAACCATCGTCTGAAATTTTATCGTATTCAATTTTTTTCATTTTTTTACAGATATGTATGAAAAAAGAAGTCGTATTTGACGTCCTTCTCACTTTTTCTCACTTGTTTTATAACGTAATTATTCAATGTTTATGTCACAATCGCAATATTTATGTCAATTGTGTTTATGTCATAATTGAACAATTAGTCAATTATTTAGTTGTAAAAAATGTAATTGGTGAAATCATATTATTATCTAATTAGTTAAGTTATTACAAAACTATGAATAGTCGGACCGTGTAAGTAAATAAATGTTAAATATAGTAAAGTAATTATGGCATTGCATAATAACTGTCACAAGGTAATCACAGCCACGTAGCGCACGATAACCTAAAGTGTGAAGTAAACGTGAAACTTAAGCACGTGAATGCGAAACATACAAAATCGGAAGACCAACAATTTGTCGAAGTTGATTAACAATGAACGCTGCTATTCTGACAATTTCGTGTCTTTCTCATTCATTGCTGTATACTGTCTCGTAAGCCTCATCAGTTTCTGTTGTCTCTTCAAATTTTCGCATTTTTTCCTCTCTCTCAATCACTGACACAATTAGTTTTATTGCTATACCCTTCTTTACTCTCAATCTCTGTTTACAGCATCTTTTAGATTCAATTAACCTTTGAATTTTCTTCCATTTTCCAATGATGATTGAAGGCTAATAACTCTAAATACCGATTAATCATCCTTTTAACAATTAATTTTTTTCCAAAATTATTTTAAAAATTTTATAAAATCACCAAAGTGATGATGAATGATCCAAACTATAAGAACATTTCAAATTTAATTTTAAAAATTAAAGGATGAGAAAATCAATAGAAGTAATCATCGAGAATCAACTTATCCTTCTTATCCCACTTGACATCATCCTATACAACAGCTGGTTGAATTTAAATGCTGAATTTACTTTGCTTGTTTGAATGATAGCTCTCAACGAATACTTTGGCAGTATAAAATTTGACGAGAAAATAAGAAAAACAAAAAACAAAAAGTGCTAATTCATTTGTTGAAGTGATGTGAAATTTCATCTTGAAATTATCAAAATTTGTCGTG